TTTGGCACATTCCTTACTTTGCTCCTGACACACCTTTGAACAAATGAAACCACTGCTTTAGGTAATAGCCTTGTCATCTGCCAATGAATAATATCCGTGCATAGAAAGAGAGACTTTTTTTTTTAAAAAAAGAGAGAACTACAATAATTCTTTAGAAAGATTAATTTGCTTTTCAAACAGTCTTGAGAATGTTGTCTGGGGTTAGAAAGGCAGAATAGAAATATTTTAATAAAATATAAGATACTGAAAATCTTGTTACCTTCCTTCTCTAACAGTTTATATAATAAATATCAGGCCAGCTTGCTTTTTAAAACAATTTTCTCTCCTCCCTCCCCTGCTGGAGTTCTCCATAGAGACAAAGAAAGAAGGGAGGGAAAATATGTTGTCCTGATAATTTTTATCACTTACAACTAAATGGACACTTCTAAAAAATAATAGTAACGATTAAGTCATTTGTCTTATAAGTCTTGTGGAATTTTCACAGTATACTATCTAGCTAAGAAGTAGTGGAGGCCAATGTTTAACAAGTCACATATTTCCATTGTCCCTTCACCCCCTGCTTATGCTTTTACCACATCCTAACAAAAACACAACCAGAACTGGTGAAAAACATACGGTTCCAAGTAATGAATCACATACTTTCCCGCAAGTACAGTAAGTACTACCAGCTGTGACAGTCCTGCTTTGGCAGTGGAACCACTGCAGTACAAGGCCGTCACATCTGAAACCAGCTGTACTAAAAAACCGCAAGCAATATAAGTCCGTCTGCCTTCTGAGGGGCTTCTTTGTCTCCGTCTGTCTCTCTCGGCTGTGTCCCTAGGATTTGCCAGCCATCTTTGTTTTGACAGGGCTCGGAGTTTTAAGAAATTTGAAGGAGGGAAAAAAAAATAATCCGCTGATTCAGGAAGCTGAGTCTCTACAAAATGATAAGGAGCTCTTTGTCCAATCTTAGTATACCTCAGGAAATTTAAAGAGAAAGTATACAAACTAGTATGTTCTCTATTTGTGCTGGCCTCTGAATTACTCAGCACTAGGCAACCTCCAAAGCAGATTTTAATTAGAATCAGCAGAGTAGATTTAGATTTGAAATAATATTCAAACAGATTTGAATAATTGAATATTAAAATAGATTTTACAGATGTGATAAGCTTTATTGTCATTTTTTTACTGAACACATATGCACACATAAGAGCTGCATTTTACTAACAGAATTAAGGAAATAGTTTTAGTTTTTTCATATCAATGGTTAAAATAACCGCAAGAACTGGCCCTTGTAAGAAACAGGACTCTGGGCTAATACAGAATCAATATATTAGTTTATGGATAGCTGTATACTTCAGCCAGTCCATAATAAAAGTGGCAATCAATTAGTTAGTAGATTATCAGGAATTCCTTGTAAATCTCTTGAGTCATTATTTCTCCTTCTAAGTCTGATTTTACCTAGCAGATTTTACCCTCCTTCTAAATCTGATTTTACTGAACATACTGCTAGGTAAAATCAGATTTAGAAGAAAAAACAATGACATCTCTGCCATCTCTCCTTTGGTCTACAAAAGCTGCAAAAGGATTTCAGATAGTTCGTTCCCCAAGTAATTCTGAATATGAAGTCAGCTTGAGTGGACCCATTTTGGAAAGATACCCATGTTTTTAGGAAGGTTGACCAACATCACTTTATTCCTCTTTATAGGACTGCAGAGTGGTTGCTGGAGTACATTTTTCAAAAATTATTTCAAATTTATAAAATTTGAAAATTAAGAATCCCCTTTTTTGTTTGGTGGATAGGGCCTTTTCACTGGTGCTATTAGGGATGTGAAATATACAGCTTAATAAATTTCATCCTTAGAAAACAAGTAAAATGGTATGATTGTTTTTTCCTGCAGAATTGGCCTGACTTATCCATTATGTTGAATTTTTATAATAGCTTGAAATACCTATTCTGTCGGCTTTTTTTAAAATATTTTGTTAAGTGATGTTGTTGAATTGCTTTGATGATGGCTGCAGATTGCGTTTTTATTCTATTAGCTATCTAAAATGGATATAAATGTTTCAACCGGCAATAAATAAATAAATAAATCTCACAGTACAGGAGGGTCATTAAGCAAATCTAGATTTTCCCACTGACTTTGCTTGTCAAAAGCCAGCTGGAAGGTCACAAAAGGTGATTGTGTGACTCCGGGGCACTGCAACTATTGTAAATACATGCCAGTTCCCAAGAACCCAAATTTTGATCATGTCACCACAGGGATGCTATGACAGTCCTAAGCATGAGGACTGGCTGTAAGTCACTTTTCCGATGCTGTTGTGAACAGTCACTAAACGAATGGTTGCAAGTCAGAAACTACAGGTGATCTTCGACTTAGGACCACAATTGAGCCAAAATATCTGTTGCTAGGCGAGACATTTGTTAAGTGAGGTTTGCTCCATTTTACAGCCTTTTTTTGCCACCGTTGTTAAATGAATCACCACAGTTGTTAAGTTAATAATACATTGACTTTGCTTGGTTGCAAAAGGTGATCACATGACCTGCATCCGCCATAAATATGAGTCAGTTGCCAAGCATCTGAATTTTGATGACATGATCATGAGGATGCCACAATAGTCATTTGAAAAATAGTCAGCTCACTTTTTTCAGTGCCATTGTAATTTTGAACAGTCACTAAACGAACTGTTGTAAGTCAAGGACTGTATTGCAAAATTTGGAATCCTTTCTGGATCGGGACTCCCTATGCACGGTCACTCATGCCCTCGTCACCTGGACTACTGCAATGCTCTCTACATGGGGCTCCCCTTGAGGAGCACTCGGAAGCTCCAGCTGGTCCAGAATGCGGCCGCGCGGGTAATTATGGGGGCGACATGGCGCTCCCATGTGACACCTTGCCTGCGCGAGCTGCACTGGCTTCCGGTGGTCTTCCGGGTGCACTTCAAGGTATTGGTTCTCACCTTTAAAGCGCTCCATGGCTTAGGGCCTGGTTATTTATGAGACCACCTTCTGCCACTGATAACCTCCCACCGGCCAACTCGGTCCCACAGAGAGGGCCTCCTTAGGGTGCCATCGGTCAAGCAATGTCGACTGATGACCCCCAGGGGGAGAGCCTTCTCTGTGGGGGCACCCGCCGTCTGGAACAAGCTATCCCCAGGAATACAACTAATCCCGGACCTCCGGACCTTCCGTCGAGCTTTGAAGACCTTCCTATTTCAGCAAGCTGTGCTGGCTTAAAATTTTAATGGGTTATTTTAAGGGTAATGGGTTTTAATTTTTGGGAAGCCAATTCGATTTAATTCTGCTTTTAAATTATTTTAAATTTTATATTGTATGTATTTTAATTTTGGCTGTTTCACCGCCCTGAGTCCTTCAGGAGAAGGGCGGTATACAAATTTAAATAATAAATAAATAATAAATAAATAAAATATTAAGTATTATAACAGCACACTTTTGGAAAGACAAAATTACATGATATTTCTATTCTAGATTTTTTTATTAGCCTACCCATCCCACTCCCGCATCAAATATTAGCTCCAAGGACTCCCTCAATCATTCATGAATGCAATTTGATTGGCTGAATGGGATCAAAATGACAAAGTGAAGAAAAAATGATTTGATGTTCACAAACCCAAGAATGGTGATTGTTTGGTTAGTACCTGCTGAGAAGAAAAATATGTTTATTTCAAATATGTGATTCAAGCACAAGCCATATGTACACATAGCAAAGGAATCAATACAAATCTAAAAGCATTATTTGACTATATAATGAAAGATTTTAAAAAGTAGTGAGGCATACAAGTGTAATGAGAACTTCTGAATGTGCATATCATTTTTTGCTAGTGTCAGGACTGGACCTTGAGGTTAAAATGAACATGGAGGAAACATTTAAAAGAAAGAACAACTGAAGGAAGATTAATGAGTGAAAGGCAATGTAATGAAGGAAGATGTGGGAGCTGCTTGGAAGAGAGTTAATTATGTTCCATAGTGCCACAGAAGTATGCAAAGTTATACCAATGAGAAGTTTGAAAAGGATGCTTGGTAGAATCATGAACCGAAAAAAGTCTGGATGAGGGAAAACTGCATGTCAGACAACAATTGCTCCAAAAATAGGAATTATAGAAATATGAAATTATATATGGATAAAGGTTTTAAAAGATATTCTCAGAGAAAAATGGTTTAAATTAAAAGAGGCAGAAAAAATACAAAGCAATGATGAAGAAATGGATACAGAGGGTTAAAGAAGCTGACAACAAAATGGAAACATGACAAAATGTTTTGGGATAAAACTTAAGTGCGGAAATGATAGGAGGTTTTCAGCAATTTGTGTCAGAGTGATCGTATGTTGTAGAGTGGGATTGAAACATGCTATAAATGTTAGTATCTAGTAACTAGAAAGAATGAAAATGAAATAAATGTATGTTGGGGGGAAAAAACAACAGCAGCTGTAAATTGTGCAACTGGACAAATGTTAAAATATGGAGTGACTATGTGATATAACATATGTGAAGAACTGTGCATGATGACTGGGAGAATGCTGTTTTCGTTCTCCTATACAGGAGATGGATGGAAAAAGGCAAAAATAAAGATTATTCGGGGAAGAGTTTTGGTAGGATTCCAACTGAAAAGTTATAAGCGATGACAATGAACAAAATTTGAAAAGTGCAGTGTATTCTTATGCCAGAAAGCAGAAAGCGTGAAGATCAAAGTTTTGTTTTTCACTTGTGTATTTGTTAATTTACAGAAACTATAATATAAGCAAATAGGCTTGAATTGTAGAAAGTCTGGCACAAACAGAGAATTAAAAGCTGGTTGTTGAATGCAATAAGAACGGTTTGCAATAGTCATAAAGGCTGTTTGAGAATAAATGGGAAGTTTTGTGATTGGTTCAACACTGAGCAAAGAATAAGACAAAGATGTTTGCTATTTCTTTTATTCCTTCGTGTGTTTGTGGGGGGGGGGGACCATAAATTCTAGAACCTGCCTAAGGCACAAAGCCCAGCTAGGTGATTCTGAGTCAGTCCCTTTCTTTCAGTCCTAGTAAGTAGGTAGTAGGCAAGCCATTTCTGAAGTCTTACAGAGAAAACTGTAGGGATTAATCCAGGTCATCACCAAGAGTCAACCCTAATTTGAAGGCAGACACCCCCAAAAGAAGGTATAAGAGACATTAGAGGTGTCTTGACTGGAGAAATAAATATTTTATTTTTGTAAGCAGACAATATCATTTTGTTGGCTAAATATCAGAATAATTTGCAGCAAGTGTTAAATTGCATGATAAAACAAGGCATATGAACTTGAACATCAATCCATCAAAGAACAATTGTGTTTGGTAAGGAAAATGCAGTGAACAGATGAAATTGTGTACCTTTGCAGAATGTTTACTAAATATGGCAATATGGATGGAGAAACTTTAAAACATACAAATGTTGGTAGAAAGAAACTGAACGGTACAGGGCCCCTTGTAAGGAATGAATGTTTATCAAAAGAAGTGAAAATAGCTCTGTAGGAGCATGCTTTTATCCCCTTTGTTATATGGAAATGAGAGCTGGTTATCCCGGGAGAAATGTAAAATAAAGTTGAATACAGAGAGAATTGGGTAGTTAAGAAGTATGTGTATGTGACAAAAGGATAAAAAAATGTAATGAATGAATGAACACTGAATAAATGTAGCTGGTATACAAAACTGAGCAAACAATATGAAAGTGGGCTGAGATGGGCTGATCATATAGAGAGGATGAATAAGGTTGGAATTGTAAAACAAATATATGAGTGAATGGGTGAAAAAAAGAGGGTTTCTCAAGGCTGAGTAAGTGATGGTTAGATGGAATTGTTGTGATTCCAACCCACCTCCCAAAAAAGCAAGGAGTTTAAGCAAGCAAATGGGCAGTCAAAGGAACATCTGAACATAGAAAGAAAAGTAATATGATATAACTTTAGGATATATTGTATTTATAAATGTTCTCTGTGTGTGTGTGTGTGTGTGCACGTGTGTGTGTGTACACACACACACACACACACACACACACACACACACACACACACACACACAGTGGTGGGATTTAAATAATTTAACAACCGGTTCTCTGTCCTAATGACCAGCTAGGTAGGCATAGCTCGGTAGTCATGTGACCGTGTGGGCGTGGCCAACTCAACATCACTCATGTTGTAATGCCTTAGCTGTTACAATGTAATAAGGGTTAACCAGAAAAGCTGTTTCTGTAAGCAGGGCAATAAAGATTAGGCTAGAAACAACACCAGAATGTTTCCTTCCTGCCTTCCTTACAGGATTAGCCCTGTAAAGTGGGAAAAAACAAAATAAGAGCTGAACTTTCTGAACTGCTTAGAAAGTTAATAACCGGTTCTCCCGAATAGATGCGAACTGGCTGAATCCCACCACTGTATATATGTATGTGTGTGTGTGTATGTGTTTATATATGTATGTATACATATGTATATGTATGTGTATATATGTATGTGTGTGTATAACACGTGCGGCCCCTTTGCGAACCAGTAGTAAAGATAAATAGAACCCACCCCTGATATATACATATAATTGGAAACAATTATATCTGTCTGTGAGAGTATGGTATGAATGTGCAAATAATAATATATAAATGTACAGAACTACCTACAGCATAAGGTGAAGCACGAATCCATATAATACTCTGGCAGCAGAAATATAAATTCATTTATACAATTTGAAATGTATCTATCAAAGCATATCTAAGAATAGTATTTGCTACATATTTTGCCAGGCAACTTTTTTGCAGAATGCTGTGTTAGACAAATTCTACTATAACTTCCCTGATACTGCCAAATTTTCCACTGACAATGCTCTGGTGACTTAAGCCTCATAGCAAACCATAATTCAGAAACTGAAGCTTTTTCAAGATGCAAATATAGCAATGACAATGGCTTCACCAAAGAAATTTATGCTTCTTTGTTAATTGCACAAGAAAATTGTCAGAACAATGTTGGCAAACAATTTCACTGTTTGCCAGCAGCATGCCCAGCAAGAAAGACAAATGACTTCATTATGGGCTACAGTATTCCTGAATAGGGAAGGATTAAACTATGCCCCAGGCACTTTTCTTCAGTAGTTTGTAGCTGGGTTTATAATCTACCATTCCACCATGCCTGTCGCTGGAGGATAAATTCCGTACCTGATATTTTGTGGCGGAGAGAGCAAGGGGAGTGGGTTAAAGCAGGTAACTATGGGATCCTTTAATACTTTAATTGACACAACTAGATTTATAATATGGACTTTCTTCTTCAAAAATTCCAGGAGGGAAGAACATTTCTGAAACCTATTTTGGGAATAAGAATTAATGTGTTGTTAGTGCCATGTGTATCTTGAGAAAAAATAATTGAAAGAAAGATATTAGTGTTAGTCTTACACAGACCATTAAGCATTTATGTTTACACTCAGAAGCTTGATTTTTGGCTAATCACTTTCCTATAATAAATACGATGTTTTAAAAATACATATTATATAGGGAATGCCCTTCTTTAAATGTAGATGTTTCATCATTTGCAACAGAAGGACCTGAGCTGTGTGGTCCAGCAGATTTTGTGCTCCAGAAGACATCTATTGGATTCTACATGAACAAATTAGAAATTTGCAGCAGATTTGGGCTACTGATATCATTATCTCCAACATAAAGTCAGTCTTCAAAAACAAGAATGTATTGTTATATGCAATATTCATGTAGCATACAGTATATAGCCTTGACTAAATTGTGTTGTTTTCTTTGCATTGTTCAAAAAAGAAAAACATTTAATCACTTTTATGAATGTTATATGACAACAATAAATTAAGAATAGTGCTGAAAGTTATTCATTATATGTCCATTGCTGCCTTCTGATTAAGGCAAATAAATGAAACATGTATCTATTTCACATTCAAACAAAACTATACCTTTTGTAACAGACTTTAAAACAAATTATCATATTGCTTCTATTTTAAATGTAATTTTATTTTACCTGAAAAGGTCGATAAAAAAACAAAAATGGAGTATGTTGAAGGACTATGTCTCTTTTGGATTAAGTTCCTGATACAAAAATGTATTCTGGCATTGGGCCATGTGTTATCTGACTTATTTAAAATAACATTTTCTGTGTAAATTCTCCCTATTCTACAAAATATTGTAAATGGCATTGATACAATATTTACTAATGTTGCAAAAATAGTATTGTACATTCATTGGTAAATGAGTCCAAACTGGCCAGAAGAAAACCATGTACTTTGTTAACAATCAGTTTATTTTCTTTACTGTTTTAAAATGCTGTAGTACTTTGTTCATTTTATAAACTTGCTATAGCTTAATATTTTATATACACTGAGTTGATTTGCAGAGTATGGCTCATGACTCTAATGTTTCTGTCTCTCCTCAAAGGAAAGAATAGCTTTTGTTTTTATTTTGCGGCAACAGGATTGCTGATTGTATTGGAATGCAAACAAACTATGATTAGTAGTAATTATAATTGAACAAGACAAGCCAACTTCAGACTATGTTTTACAATAAGTATTGCTCTTTGTTTGCAAAGAGTGAGTGATTCTGATTAGCTGAGAATGCAGCAGAAGCTTATCTCAACTTTGCCGGCATGCTGGAGAATGGTAGCTTCAAGAGCACAAGGCATATTCAGCTATGAATACATACATACAGAAATTTGGTCTCTGATAGAACAATTTCCATTAATTTCCATTAATTTACGTAGTTGAAGGCCCATCCAAAGAAGGCTACAAAATGTGAGCCAATTTGTCGGTAGTTACATATCAAAACATACCTTTATTGTTTACTAGAGTTGCCAGGAATCAAGGGTAAATTGACATAGTAAGCATGTTGTAATTAGTTTAAATTAATATCAATTTCCTATGACAATAAATAATTTATTCTATGAGCTTTTATATGAACATAAAGATATGCAAGGGATATATATTACAATGATACTGTGTTTTCTTAAATAATTAAGAATAAATAAATAATTAACCTAAAGGGTAGGAAAAGGAAAATTCAAATCTCACTGATTTTTTAGGTACACCTGTGTATTCTATCAAGTGCCATCAGAAAGTGGCAAAATGCAGTATGGAGTAATCTACCATTATATGGATAGAGAATTAGTTGAACAAATGAAAGCATTGACTAGTATACGTCAATGGTTCTTTAGCAAACTGGAAGGAAGTGTAAAATGGCATACCGTATGTCTCCATGTAGGTCAATTCTAGGTCCTATACTGTTCTACATGTTTATAAATGATTATAATGAAGGATAGAAAATAAGATTTTAAATTTGCAGATAACACAAAAAGAAAAGAGAGCAAAGACCTTGGAGAACACTGCCAAGGTTCAGTAGTTTTTCATCAGTCTGAATTTCAAGATGAATTTCACCATGGACAAATGGGAAAAAATGAATTTCAGCAATGACAAAAGTCTACATATGGGTGGGAAAGGTCAAAGGCATTTAGGATATCATCCTGGAATTGCAAATATTTTAGTGGATTGTCTTATACAGAACTGATGGACAATGTGTGGCATCTAAATAATAACTTCTAATTGGTCAGTTGGTCAACAGTGCATGATAATAAAAGCTACAGACCATCATCATCACAAGGGTTTTAATTCCATCTTGGCTGCACACTGTGATTAGGATGTTCGATCTTCTTTGATAAAAATCCCATAATAAAGTAAAAAAGACATTCATCTCATGTTGTTTTAGTTAGAAAGCCAGACATTCCTTTTAATACTGTACTCTCTTCGGATATGGACATTTCTTACTATAATTCAAAACAAAACTGCCATCACTCTATTGACAAAACAAGATGTTGACAGCTCTCAAATTACAACAGTGTTGTCAGCTGATGCTTACTGCAGCAGGGTTTTGTTATGTCCTCTTTCTTCCAACTCCCCACCCCACTCCAATCTTTAAATTTCAGTGCTCTGCTGCTAATTATAAATGTCAAAAGCAGAACAAAGCTTACTGACTTGAATGGCTGGTGTCTGTACATGTGCACACACAGAATTCATTAATGATTTCAAGGTGCATAAAACGATAATGATCTTTAAATGGTACTACTAATAGTTACCTTTTATGTTTCTGTTAGCCTTTTTACATATTACTAGGTAATATTAAGTAAAAACTCTGAATGATATACAAGCCTGGTTACTTATGAGTCCTCTCAATCAATGTTTATATATATATATACAGTATATATTTCCATATTTATAAAAAAGAATAGTTTCTGGTTAAAAGGTTTTTCTGGATTTAAAATGTAGTGGTTCTCAAAATGTGTCCTGGAGAACTCCACATGTCCCCAAGACAATTTTCAGGGGTCTACTGAGTCAAATAAGTGTACTATAAAATTTATTAGGTTAAATTACTAATACAGCAAATATTGATAGAGATAGTCTATGTAAATAGACTCTTTGGGGTTCTCAATTATTTTTTAAGAATATAAAGAGATTCTGAGACCAAAATGTTTGAGAATTGCTCGTCTAATGAATGTGTACTGATTGCATCATAATGCTGCTTGGAAAATTTTGTGCCAATCCTGGAACTACAAATTACCACCAACATCTTCAAAGCAGAGCGTCATGCAAAGAGAAAGCGATTAGAATGTAGGACAATGACAGTACACTGCTAGAAAGAAGAAGGGATCCATACATTCATATAGAGGTATGAAATTGATCAAAAGGTTGGCAGTTCAGCGGTTCGAATCCCTAGTGCTGCGTAACGGGGTGAGCTCCCATTACTTGTCCCAGCTTTTACCAACCTAGCAGTTTGAAAGCACATAAAAAATACAAATAGAAAAATAGGGACCACATTTTGTGGGAAGGTAACAGTGTTCCATGCGCCTTTGGTGCTTAGTCATGCAGGCCACATGACCATGGAGACGTCTTTGGACAGCGCTGGCTCTTTGGCTTTGAAACAGAGATGACCACCACCCCCTAGAGTCAGAAACAACTAGCACATATGTGCAAGGGGAACCTTTACCTTTTACTTTACTTTCCAAACTTTTCCCTTCATTATCCAAAACTGCTTATCAGAAAGTCCTTTTTACCCAATGCTGGTTAAAAAAAAAATCTTTAAATCAACTTAAATGTCCCTGTTGTGATTGGGTAATAGGTTTGTGTGTCATTACCCAAAGGAAAACATTTTGCATAATTTATGCAGGTTTGGGAAGCACTGTGCTAGAGCTTCAAAAAACGGTGTAGGCAGCAAAACCAGTAATTATCTGTAGACAGTAATTACAGAGTCAGATTAGGATTGAGATATTCTAGACATCCCTTTATAATTAGGGTATCTTACCTCAGAGGATAGATATCGGGATCAATGGTATGAGGAATGACCTTGTTTTTTCTATTTGTTAGGCCTTAAGACTATTTGTTACCATACAAATATGACAGAAAAGTATCCATGAGTGGGTGAGTGGGTGGTATTAAAATCTTAAAAATAATATTAAAAAATAATATGCAAAGCAAGCAAACCAAAAAGAGAGAGAAAAAGATTTAAATTTGATCACAGTGTTAATATACGAGCCACGGTGGCTCAGTGGTTAGAGTGCAGTACTGCAGGCTACTTCTGCTGACTGCCAGCTGCCTGCAATTTGGCAGTTCAAATCTCAACAGGCTCAAGGTTGACTCAGCCTTCCATCCTTCCAAGGTGGGTAAAATTGCTGACTGCCTGCAATTTGGCAGCCTCAGTCTCACCAGCTCAAAGTTAGCTCAGCTTTCCATCCACCTGAGGTCGGTAAAATGAGTATCCAGATTGTTGGGGGTAATATGCTGACTCTGAAACCACTTAGAGAGGGCTGTAAAGCACTGTGAAGTGGTATATAAGTCTAAACACTATTGCTATCCTATCCTATTGCTCTCCTTACAATCTACAGCATGCAGCCTGATATTTATTCAAGTTTGGTAACAGTACTTCAGATATATGAGAGCCCCATTATTATTACTTGCTCAGAGAGAGAGGTCAGGTCACACCTTTAAATTATCAGCTCCAAAGCTATGTAGTGATATGAACATATTTTGATTTTTCTCTAAATCAAAAAAAATCAGATACATTAAACGGGTCTGATAATTTAGGAAAGAGAGAAAGATGGCTTATCCTACTTTACAGATAAAAGTGCTAAGAAGAAAAAAGTATTTCCCCTCCCCATGTTTTATACTTCATCACCATAAGGTCTTCTATCACTACATAATTCTTGCCACAGATTTCTTTTTCTGCTCAAACATGGGTGGCAAAGCTGAGCCCAAGTCTTGAGAAAGCAGCTCCAGAAGGCTTCCAAAAGTTGTCACCAAATTGTAATTTTTTAATATCAGAGAAGCTGGAAATTATAAAATACATGAGGCGTTAATTGGATTAGCATTTAAGTGATTTTATTTTAATTACTTTTCCATGTAAAATAAATTAAATTTATCTTTTCCTTGTGTGTTCCTATATTTTGAAGACTGCTCTCAAACGCAGTTTTAGGAAGTGCACCTTCCAGTGCTAGATCAGAGCCTTGGTAGTACAGTGGTCTAAAGCACCCTGTTATTAACACAGCTGCCTGCAATTACTGCAAGTTCGAATCTCGCCAAGGCTCAAGGTTGACTCAGCCTTCCATCCTTTCTAAGGTAGGTAAAATGAGGACCCAGTTTGTGGGGGCAATAAGCTGACTTTGTATAAATATACAAAAGGATGAAGGCTATTGCTTAACGCATTGTAAGCCGCCCTGAGTCTCCGGAGAAGGGCAGCATATAAATCAAATTTTAAAAAAAAAATCATAGAAAATGGCAATTATCTTCCAAAATGTATAACCATAGTTTCTGCAAGGAAGAACCAATGCTCAGAAAGAAACTTGTCTTGTTATACAGATAGTAAGAATTCTTATGCATAAGTTAGATCCTTAGGTCCTGG